CCCTCTGTGGGGGGACACTCCCACTAGGTTTATATCTGGGACTCTCCACCATTTGACCTTAGAACTGAAGAAGCTTCTCGGATGAGAGGTGAAATGTCTTCAAGTAACTTAAAGAAGTCCAGACGCTTTTCTTTGCAAGCTCCTTTGACTTAAGGTACCGTAGTAGCTCTTCTTTTGGTCTGGGCCCAACCCTGGCTTTGCTCAGCAGCATGGCTCAAAAGTGATATATGGGTCCAGATCTGCACGTTCAACTACAATTGATGCTGTCTCTGGTGTTCTACTTGAGATTTTCCCTCATTCCTGCCTTTATTGACCTGGAACACAAGTTCCACATGTTCACGAGTCCATGACCTCATTTTGATATGATCAGCATGAGAAAGGATTGAACGTGTAACGGCTTATGTTCGAAAGCAGTGACTCAAAAGTCTTTTGTCGTTCTCTCTTCCATACACAGACATCAGCAGAGTGGTTAGCAGGAACCTTAGTGTGCAATAAATTTTCTGCAATTGCAGCAATTATCTGCAAGTCCAAGACCTTTCACTCTGCCTTGTTTTTTCATCACTGTATTTATCCCTTTTGACTAGAAGGCTGCTTGTGCAAAGTCCTTTTACTCAAACAATTCTAAAAGAACTGCGTTTTACTTGATTATTTCCATTTCATACTACTTACACTTTGTCTCCGATGGAACATATGCGGTTGAGATTCATACCTTGGAGCTGGTAATCAGAGTACATCAGCTCCTTACAAATAGGGTTCAGTCATCTTTAACATTTGTATACATCTTGCATTTTAAAGAACAAATAAAAATAGCTGCTCTGTAACACTCGCACAGCCATTGATTTTCTGAAGTAAGAAATGCAGTTTTACATTTGAAGTTTGAGTAGCTTTTTATAAGACTAATCAATAGTTTTCTGTTAGCAAAGAGACAAGCTGCAAAAATAGTGTAAAACATGTCACCCCTAATGACATATCCACAAAACATTATCACCTCAACCTGCAGTTACAGACTTAGCTCTGCCTTCCACTGAAGCATGTGTTACTGCTTGTGTTGACACCGAACACACTGCACTGTTTCAAGAGCTATTGCTACCCTACCCAGCCAACAGCAAGGGGCAGTGAGATCCTAGTTCAAGACTAATGAACACAGAATATTTTGCTGTTAAGGAGAAAAATATTTTTTGAACATTTGGGGGTAGACAAAGTATATATATTAAGTTATATTATGTGTGTCTAATTGACCTAGATGAATATTAACCATCCATCCGTCCGTTCATCGGTCCATCCATCCATCCATCCATCCATCTAGGTACACCCTAGACAGGTCGCTAATCTCATGCAGGGCTAATATATAGAGACAAACAAACATCCATACCCACGGTTACTTCAGAAACACATTAACAAACAAGTGCACACATGCACTTAACCTAACCCCATAGATGTGTTTAAACTGTGGGAGGAGATCTCACGCAGACATGGGGAGAACACAGAAAGGCCCCAGCCTGGATTTGAACTCATGAACCTTCTTGCTGTGAAGCAACAATTCTAACCACAATATTCTTCTTCCATTTAAAAGGATCATTTTAACATTGTAATATTTGCCGTGTTGCCTGCAGAAGTGTTGGTGAGTGTTCTGAATGAGGTACATGAGTAGTGACACTATGTACACTTGCGTAATTTTGACAGGATAGTTTCAAATCAGACAGGGCAAGTTGTGCACTTATTTGAAGTAACACTGCTGCATTTGAATGTGTCACATTAACTGTTGCATTTATTGGACATTTACAACTCGCCGAGCCTCTGAAACACATCAGGTACTAAATTCTTCTGTGTTGAAAATGACTGTTTTATGCACATTAACACCAAACGCAGCCACAACATCAGCGGCTGTTAATATTAGCTGACTAGCAGTGATGTAATTTCTGATCAGGGTTGGTTGTCCTTCCCACGCTGCTTCATAATTAAGGGCAAGAG